GTTTCAAATGGAAATAGGTGACGAGAATAATTTAGACGTTTTAGAGTGGAAATGGTACGGCGGAAAATATTGGATACATGTTTTTTTCCAGGTAAGTGTTTGATCGAAGGTTATTCCAAGGTTTTTGACGGTGGGGTAAAATTTGATGGGATTATCATGCAGGAACAGAGTTGGAATATTAGGAACAGTTTTAAGGAGGTGATTGGAGCCTATTAAGATTGTCTTCGTCTTTCCCGCATTCAACTTCAACTTGTTAGTTCTCGCCCAGTCACAAATCCTATCCAAGCCTTCTTGTAGTTTCTCTGTGGCAGATAATCATTTCTCATCCATCCAGTCCCCATGAAATTGTAAATAGATACTAATGTAAATATGTATATAAATTATTAGCTCGTTCTTCAATATTTTTACTTCATACTTTTTTTTTTTAATTTTTAATTTTTGTTATTAACTGATTAAAATTATAAAGTAACTTATAATTTTTAATTTTATTACTATGACTGTTTAATTACTCTGTATCTTTATTTATGTACCTCTGAGACTCCTTAGCCCATATTTATGTCTTTCTGTATTATTCTAAAGGGATTCGTCCCGGAATAAATAAAGTCGGAGGGCGGGAAGGAGAGGTATATTTGGAAACCATCTGCATCTGGTATTGGGAGTGATGGATCATGAGGGAAAGGTCATTAATGTAAATAGCAAACAGAGTAGGAGATAGAGAGGAACCTTGAGGGACACCACAGGAGAGGGGAAGGGTCTTAGATGAAGGTTGGTCTGGGACTACTACATACTGGGACCGATTTGAAAGGAAGGATTTGAACCAGCGCAGGGCACTGTTGGATAGAGGAAGATTGTGCAATTTCGTAAGGAGGATCTTATAGTCAACTGTGTCGAACGCTTTGGAAAAATCTAGAAGGATGAGGATGGTAAGGTTTTGGTGTTCGATGGAGTTTTGGAGATCATAGGTTATTTTAAGGAGAGCGGATTGCGTTGAGTAACCAGGTCGAAAGCCAGATTGGAATGGGTTGATAAGGGAACGTTCCTCTAGGAAGTTGGAGAGTTGATTTTGGACAAGGCGTTCTAACGGCTTTGAGAGGTTGGATAGAAGAGAAATAGGACGGAAACCGTGCAGTGAGATATGGTTGGGAATTTTATTTAAAGGTCGGACTAGGGCAGTTTTCCAGGAGGATGGGAATATAGAGTTTTGCAGTGAAAAGTTGTAGATATGGTAAAGAACAGGAATAAGGGCAGGAATGCTGGGTTGTATTAGTTTTACTGGAATATTATCAGGACCATAATCATTAGGGTGGGATTTTAGGATAGTGGAAAGTAATTCATCATAGGTCACATTACTGAGGTTGCTTGAATAGCCTTAGTTGGAGTAGAAGGAATGAGAGAATGGGATAAGGATGCAAAACCCGGCATGGGACGTGTTGTCAAGGTGGTCTGATATATGAGTTATGTAGTCACGTATGTAGAAATATGAACGTTGAGTGAAGTGAGTTTCTGTCAGTAGAGCAATATCAATGTGGTTGTCATGAAGAAAAATGTCAAGTTCGTCTCGGTGGCTGTGTAGTCCGTTAGCATTCCATAAAAGAACAACTAGGGACTTTGTGCTCATCGAGGGAGATTAAAGGGAATTTCGGTAAGGATTCTTGTGAGGAGCGTGATTAGTGGCTTGATAGTTTCATAAAGATCATTCAGGAAGGAGGCAAGGGTGGAGTTTATTAAGTCGTTCGGGTTTTATTGGTCAGGTGGGTTTTGATCAGCGATTCGTGAGGGATAGCTGTTATGATAAGGACTGTCTGATGAGGGTTGTACGCGTCGTGATGTACGAGGGAGTGGATTATAAATAGATGGAACTTGGAAACGAAATTCAATGTGAGCAGTAGGGTTCGAGTAAAGCGGAGTGGTATGTTCAGGCGGTAATTTGACAGCTAGGGGTAACTGATAAGGAGGCATTTGTTGAGGTGGAGATTTTGACTGAATGTGGGAGGTGTGAATCTTGGATTGGGAATTCTGGGTCTTAAGATTGGAAGTCTAAGGCTTAGGTTTGGAAGACTGAGGCGTCTGACGTCGAGGCTGATTCTTCACCACGGTGCCTGAATATAGTTTCCTGGAGTCCTGGTGGAGATGGTCTGTTGATGTAGAGGGCTGTTCAGGTGCCTGTGCCTGGGTAGGAATCTTTTGTTCGTGGTTTTTTAGTGTTATGTTGTAAGTCCTTTGCTTATAGATCTTCATATAAACAATGCAGCCTTGATAGCTTGTAGGATGGTCCTCACCACAGAAGGCACATTTTACTAGTTCATTCAACCGTTTCTGGCAGGTGTCAGAGGCGTGAGAACCGGCACATTTGACACACCGTCTTAGGCCTTTGTATGCCCTAAGATTTGACACTTGGTGCATTGCACTACTATATATTTCTGCTTCGGTTCTTCAAATTTTAGGGTAGAATACAGCAGTATTTTGCCTTTAAAGATTTCAGAATTATTCCGGGCTGTTTCTAAATCAATGAAAAATAATTGCAGTGGATATTTGTCAACTGGATATAAAACAGAAGACATATGTCTTACATTGTGGCCGATATCTTCAAGATCTTTTTTTTTTTTTGCGGTAGTAGGAGTAGTAAAGTGAAGACCTCTCAAAACGACCCTATATGTTTTTTCTTCTTTCAATTGATAGCAGTGGAAGTCATTATTTTTTGCTGTCAAGTGATTAATAAGTTTTTTATAATCGTCTTGGGTGTTGGTGTTAATCTTTATGTCACTGACGCGAGAAAAACATCGGAAATTGGTATGTCCAATCAGGTTAGCTATTTCTTGATCGAACTGCATGAAATTGAAAATTTTGCTTACATATATCGGTGGTGGCTCTGGTTCGGTGAAAGTTCTAGGTTCAGTGGTCTCCTTATTTTTATTGTTGACTGCAACAGAATTGTTGCTGTATGTGCTAGTAGATGGTTTAGTTTCAGCTTTCATAGCTGAATTATTATTAGTGCTAGTTTTTGATTTTTTATTTGGTGAGTTGCCCGCCGACCCGGGGGGTAGAGTTTCTGAGGCGCTATTGGACAGTTCGGTCTCACTAATTTTGGAAAAGGGAGTATCTACATCTGATTCATCAATAGAAATATTCTTATCAGAATCCATACCTCTAAATATAAATTAACAAAGAAAAAGAGAAAAAAAAAAGCATCAATAATAAGAAAATTTACAAAATAAATATTTAATAACTAATCTATTTTCAAATCTATATACATATATTAAATAAAACATTTTTAATAAATATACAAAATAAAAGAGCCAGAGTAAACAAATTAAATAAATAACGCATAAATAAGTAAAACAGAGAAAAAAAAAGTATTTATGAGTCTGAGGTACGAACTCAAGATTAACAACGGGTAATACGAAGCGCCGTGACCGTGACCTTGAAAGATAAGACCCGCTGAGGGGAATTATCTGCCACGTAAGCTATCTCTAGCAAACGAGAACCAATTTAATGTTGCTGATAGTTAATAATAAGTCACTCACCTCACTGATTATAAAGTAAAAATGTTAAACTGTTTATAAACTCACTGTTTACAAAGTCTGAGAATAAGATTCCAGATAATAAGTAGATGACAAAGTAGCAAAAGACAGAACGATACGAATATTGGACTGCAGTTGCGGCCATGACACTTGATACTAGAATACCGATTAAAAAAGAACGATAAACTTTATGAACAGATCGAAAACTTGGAATCATCGATGAAAACATCCTTTAATCGAAAAAGGAGATTAAAGTTCTTCGGACATAAGAAGAGAATGGTTCGGAATAGGCTAAACAAACAAATAAAACAAGAAGTGAAAAAAATGGGTATCAAAGAGGAGGACTACTAAGATAGTGACAAATTCAGGAACATGGTGAAAAATATAAAGGTTCTTGTGGTGGATAAGAAGCAAGAAAGTAAGAAATAGACAGAGGAAAGAAGGAGGGAGATGAAAAATGAAAAGAATATGGGCAAAAAATAAAAAGACCTAGAAGTGATATACCCGTGGTCCAAGGTTGGACTGTATCACGATAAATAAATATTAATTTATATTTACTCAACTATTAAGTAATATGTATTTTCTAATGATCATGAGGTTCAGTCAATAAATATACAACTATATTTTGTTTTCATATTCATGTCCTACAGGGGAAAAATAGGTTTATAGACAATTTTCTTTTCTTTTCTTTTTCTAGTTTTCAATCCCTTCTGTCTTTATATAAACAAAAGGTGTTTCAATGTATTATTTCTCAATTGCATAGTGACGTGTCAAGAAAAATAGATCTTATACGACAACAGAAGGCGTTGTAGTGAATGGCTAGATAAAGATGTACACCCAAGACATTTCCCAAAACCCAATCAGCACCCGAAAAAAGTCAAGTTCACAGTTAGTTGGTCTACTGTCGGTGTTATCTACTACAGCTTTCTCAATCATGGTGAGACTATCACTGCCAACAAGTACTGTCAAGAAATTGATGAGATGAATCGGAAGGGACCGATCCTTCTCTATAATAATACCAGGCCACACGTTACAGCAATAGGATGAAAAGTCATGGATATAGGTGCATCGAAGGATTCATAGGCCAATGGGAAATTGGAATGATTATGTGTCTCAAGATCTGGAAATGGTCAGAACCTCAAGTATAAGTAATGATTGAGAAAGGTTGTTAAGAGAACTGACTATGTAGTGTCATATACGTGTATCAATCTGACAAACAAATTAAGGTTTTAATTACTTTAATAATTACCTCTGCGCTTACATAATAACCAACTACATAGTAACTTAAAAAAGTAAATGTATCTTTGAAGATAATAACTTGTCAATAGTAGGTCTTTTCACTAACTTAACTACCAATAGGATCATCACAAATTGGATTAGTAAGCATTTATAATAAAGCAATGACCTCAAAACCCAGAATGGATACAAAAATGAATATTAAGAAGGTTCAGTGATTATGAATTATTCATGAAACTTTACCTATCTAGATCATCAGAATTTGAATTATCAATTTCCCACACTGCACCCCAAACAAAACTAGAATCATCTGGCACTATAGTAGCAGCATTTCCACCCCATCGATTTGACCAATAGCTAAAATCAAGACGATAATTCTGAAAATAAATTTAATAAACAATGTGAATTAACTATTGTAGTAAGTCTGATATAAAATAAAATTAATTTTAAAAATTACAAAAATATATTGATATTTTTCAGACAACTTAACAATAAATTATGAATGATGTATTAATTAATCGAAAATAAAATAACATATTTATCAACAGATTTAAAGGAAAGTTTTTGGCAAATAATTTCTGAATGATGAAGTCACTTTTAGTTTATATTTTTTGAAGTTTATGCATACCTTTTACCAAAGAATGTGGGAAGAAAAACTACCAGGAAAAGAAACTAATATTTGTAACATGGTAAATATTTTTGTCAGATTTACACCCTAATTTGTTTTCTATTTTTTTCTTTTTTTTGTACATTATTATTAGGAGGCGCCCTGGTCACATTTTACTAATTCCTCTTACCAATGACGACTGTGTATTACCAGTGATACAACATCCACAGTACTATGTACTTGGAAACCAGCAAAGCAGCACTTAAGATCACTTAAATCATGCTAATTTTTTATTGCTTGGTCCACAACAAAAACAGATGAGAATCAGATATGCATATTTTTAAAGGAAAATTTCCTTGAGGGTGATGCTAGGCAAAAGCACACCAATAAATGCGGCATGTTGCAATGATAAACTCTGCTTCTCAAAAAACTCATGACAGAGATCTTATGTCAGATCTGCAAAGTTGGAAGTAGACCTGTGCAGAATTTATTTGAAATAATATTCCTGGAATAAATCGTTAAATAAACGTCAATAGTTATTTCGGAAATAATTTATTTCAGGAATAACGATATAATTATTTCAGAAATAATGTTCTGAAATAATCACTATGATAGCTGCAAAACGGCTTGAAATAAACAAAATAAAACAGTATTGTTCACTTAAAATTTACATTTCGTTAACGCCCCCGTTTATCCCCCATACTAGAAATGGGCAGTACTCAATTACTTTTATTATTTGAGTACTTTTATTAGGTAAAAGTCTATATTGGACCTGACCACACCTAATAACCCAGTAATCCATATTAGGGTCTATTATTATGTTTGAGGGGGAGGGGCGCTTTTTATGAAAATACTATTTGTGATTGCGCTCCATTTCCCCCTCCCCACCCACGCATCGCTTTTTTGTAATTTTCCGGATTTTATCGATATCAGGGTTGACTAGTATGTATCTGGGTTAGCTTCTTATAAAAATACTGTCGAATTTGCGATTGCAAACCCCTCCCCCGCCCTCTCGTATCGACTTTTTGTAACTTTTCGGATTTAATCGATATCAGGGTCGTCTATTATGTTTTGTCGTACGCTTTTTATGAAAATATGTCGGATTTGGGATTGCGCTCCCCTCCCCCCACTCCATCGACTTTTTGTAACTTTTTGTAACTAGACCAGGTCTAGTTGGAAGACAAAAGTAAAGGAAGATGGCTGGATGAAGTAGCATCAAATGCTCGGCTGCTTCTTGACACCAGAAATTGGGCAGTTGCAGCATAAGATAAAACCTACTGGTGGAGGATGCTGTAGGATAACTAGAGGATGATATGAGAATTCTTATATTTTGATATGTATATAATGCAGCCGAGGAAGCTTTTCACTCTATGATTACTGATACTCAATATATGTTTGTACCTAGTCCTGTCATAAATATTGTTACAAGGAAATATATACAGATTTCAACAGAAAAATTATTTTTTTCAAAAATTTTATTAAAAAATAAAATGAATATCTATAGAGAGTAAAACAAAAAAGAAATTACTCAAAATGTTCCCTTTTGCCTTGACACAGACATTTAATCTCCGTGGCCAGTCATCAATAGCAGCACGCAGCACTTCTTGAGGAAAGCGCTCAACTGCTCGGACCAGAGATTGTTTGAGAGCAAACAATCCATTTCCAAGTTAGGGTGTGCTCTGTGGCATGCCATCCTCTCCAGTTCGGACCAAAGCTGATAATCTAGTGGGTTGAGATCAGGGCTTCCTGAGGGCCAATCCGAGGCAGAGATGAACTCTGGAATGTTCTTTTGCAGCCACTGCTGAGTTGACCTGGCCTTGTGAGCTGGAGCGGAATCCTGCTAGAAAACCCAATGACTTCCAGCAAACAGAGTATCATTTAGAGGCTTGACAACAGGTTCCAAAATATCGTCCTGATAGTTTTTAAGCTGTTTCCTTTTTCACAAAAATGGAGCTTTGTGGTGCCATCAAAGCAAACTCCCTACCAAACCATCACTGAGGAAGGGTGATGACCTCTTTCCACTCTTCCAATGACTTCCTGGGCTTCTTTAGAGCTGTGTGCGTACACACGATCATTTTGGCGATTAAATTTTTCTTCAATTGTAAAAATGTTCTCATGCTAAACAAAATCTTTCGATGAGGACCATTGATGTAACGGCCAAGGAGCACTTTGCATCTATCCACTCTAATTTTTTTTAAGGAAGTGGTTATCCTTTGTCCTGTCATTCTTCGAAATGCACCCATCCTAAGGTCACTTTTTATTATGCGAGACAGTGATCTGACAGAGATTCCCATTTCCTGAGACATGATTTGTTGTTTTCGAATGGGATTTCTTCTGATTCGAGCAGCCACTGCTCTCACTGCATTTACTGTTCTCACAGTGTGGGGAATCATAATTTTTTTACTAACACCCAAATTTCTCCTAACTTTGAGCCAAATTGAACTGTTTCTGAAATATAGGCATATCTAAGAAAATATATTTACGCATGTGCCAGCAAATTTTTTTTTAACATCTAGACACCAACCAGCACAATCCCTGAAACTTTCATGAAAAACAGTAGCAAGCGATATCTCCATTACATGGATAAAAGTGCGCAACAGTATCATTCAGGTCCCATTTTCCCTTATTCTTGTTTAGAAAATAGATGGTGTATTTAATACCTCCGGATTTAAATAAAATTTTAAAATCATTAAGGCTATTGAAATTTTTTCACATGTTTTGTTTTTGAACATTTTATTATTTGTTTCCAAATTTAATTTATCGAAATGTCGAGGGATGAAAAAAAAAATTGTGAGCTTAGAAGGAACTTTTCTCATACCTTCTCAATTTAATTCTATAAATTTTTAATTCTAAATTTAATTTTGAGGAGTCCTAAAAAACCACCCGAACACCCACCTCCTACCGTCCTATTTCTCTGTTACCTATCATGGGCAAAATCCTGGAAAAACTCATCCTAAAACGCCTGTATCCCATCCTAGACTCTAATCATATTATCCCTGATCACCAATTTGGATTCCGCAAATCACATTCCACTATCCAACAATGTCACCGTGTGGTTGATGTAGTCTCCTCTGCATTGGAGCGCGTATGTACTGCCCGGGAGTCTTTCTCGACGTTGAACAGGCGTTTGATCGAATCTGGTACCCGGGTCTTCTGTACAAACTCCGAAAAGTCCTACCCCCTACATACTTCCTCATTATCCGCTCCTATCTTACTGATAGATACTTCAAAGTAAACCAAAATAATGTCTTCTCATCCCTCTTTGCTCAATCTGCAGGCGTTCCACAAGGTAGTATCCTCGGTCCCATCCTCTACACAGTTTATACAGCTGACATCCCAACCCATCCTGACACTGTCATCACCACTTACGCCGATGACACAGGTTTGCTATCTGTTAATAACGATCCTTTAATTGCATCCCAAACTCTTCAATCACATATCACAAGCCTTGAAGAATGGTGTAAAAATTGGAGAATAAAAATAAATTCCAACAAATCCCATCAAATCACCTTTACCCTCCGTCGTAACCCTATGACGTCTTGTCCTACAGTAACTTTCAATAATACTCCACTTATTCCTGTTGAGCAAATCCGCTACTTAGGACTCCATTTGGATATACGTCTTACTTGGAATCCTTATACTAGACTGAAACGACAAGAAACTGCTCGACGTTTCCGACTGCTCCAACACTTACTAGACAAACGCTCCAAACTTTCTATTAATTACAAAAGACTTATCTACATAACTATAATAAGACCTATATGGACATACGGAGTTGAGCTTTGGGGCTCCACCAAACCATCGAATTCCTATCGTATCCAATCCTTACAATCCAAAATCCTCCGTAAAATCCTTAATGCTCCATACTTTGTCACAAATAAAACCATTCATAAAGACCTTAATGTACCATATGTCGCTGATTTAGCTCGAGCCAGATATCTATCCTTTCATGATAAACTTCAGTCCCATCCAAATCCGCTTGTTTCCACTCTTGCTTTTTTCTCGATTCCTGATAATCATCCTAGGCGTCTGAAAAGGAGATGGCCTCGTGATCTTCTTACTTAAAATTATTTAGAGAGTGCTACCACTGGGTAGTAACTCTTCAAGCCTGTACATGCCATTATTTATATTTGCGCATATTTACTTGTTGTATTTGTATACAGTTGTAAATTCCATTAAATAAACAAAAAAAAAAAAAAAAAATTTGAGGAGTCATAGAGGTGCGCCAAGCCACAAAACCCGTTAAAAAGTGCAAAAATGGTCACTGCCAAAAGGCACTTCTCGTACTCCAACTAAATTTAACGGTAAAGCCCATTTAATATAAAGGGACTAGACTCCCATTAAAAAATAATAATAATAAATATATATATTAGACATTTTCAGAACTGCCATAATAATTTTCTAAGGGTTCTAAAAATTGTATAAAATGAACTTGTTTAGGAATCAATCTATATAGAAATTTTAGATAATAGCTATATTCCATAATCCGTTATATCACCATTTTTTTTCTTTCCCTCGAGGTCCGTACAGTGTTACTTGAAATATTCTCCTTATATCTACTCTGCAATACTGACCCCATTTTATCAAATTATTGACACTTGCCTAAAATTTCGTGAATGGCGTTATTTTATTGTAACCTACTTTTTTATTTACAAAAATTTTAGGAAATGGAGCATTTTCTAATTAAATTAATTAATTCAATGAAGTACTGAAAACACATGTATACCCATTTGCTTTCCACATGAATCATAAGATAAATTGATCACAAAA